CAGGATGGAGGCGACGGCCCTCGCCAGGGAGCTGGGCTTCACCGAGTTTATCCGCGAGGCCTGACTTGAAAAACCACCCGCCCGAGCCTCGCCGTCTCTCGTCTCTCGACGGTCTGAATGTTTGGCTTCGCGCCGCGAGCAACCCGCGCGGGTCGCTGGGACCGTCTCGGGGCGACCAGCGCGCGTCGCGGGGATTCCGCGCCGCGCTCTGCCCGGAGCCTCGCTCGCCCCCGTCGTCTCCCTTCCCAGCGGCGTGGAGCGTGTTCCCGCTGAACGAGGGATGCGTCCTGGAGCCTTGGGGGCCCTGTTAGGAGTCAATTGTGCAGTCAATTCGCTCATTCCGCCGGCCCGTAGTGTGCCATCGCAGGCGTTCGCCTGCGCGTTCGTGGCCTCTCGGGGCGTGTTGGGGGCCGTTTTGTGGCTGCCTGGGGGCCTCTTAGGGGCTTTTTTGTTGGCCTCTTGGGGGCCTCATGCGGCCTCCGGGGTGCCTCCTGGGCTCTCCAGGGGGGCGCCTGGGGCCTCCTGGGGCCCTCGGGGCGGAAGGCTCGAATGGGCGGCTCGTGTTCCCCATTGTTGGGCCTCTCTTGGGGCCGTCTTGGGGCCTTCTTGCGCGATCTTAGGCCTCGGGGGCCGTTTTGAGGCCTTTTTGGACCGTCTTGGGGCCCTAGCTCTTGGGGGCCTGTCGGGCCGTTTTGGGGCGGTCTTGTTTGCTTCTGGGGCCATCTTGGAGCGTCGGGAGCCCGAAAACGCGAAAACGCGGAAACATGAAACAATAAAGAACATTAATGATTGTTGTTTTTTGTTGCCCTCTTTGGGGTCCTCTTGGAGCGCTCTTGGGGTTTCTTTGGGGCCTCTTGGGCTGTCTTGGGGCCATATTGGGCGTATCGGGGCGTCTTTTCGGCGACTAGGGGCAATCTTGAGCTGTCTTGGACCGCTCTTGGGGCTCTCTGGGACGCTCTGAGGGCGGCGCTCAAGGGCAAAACCATCTCTGACTTCAGTTTCCGGGGACCTTGCTGGGTAGTTGCCGGGGACTTGCCGGAGTAGTTTTGGTCTGGGGACCCCCATGGGGTCGGCACGCGCGCGCGAATTACAAATCTCTTAGAGCAGTTGCCGGAGATCTTAGCACGCTGACCCGTTGTGCCAGCGAGCTGGGCGTCTTGGGTTTGGGGATTCCTTAGGAGCCTCTAGGTGGCGTTTTTGAAAGGTTCTGGAAGCTCTTCGCCGACATGTTGGGGGTTATTCGGCCGTTCGGGACTGTTGGAGCGGGGGGAGTTTCCAGAGACACATCCCTAACGTGACCGGGGGAACTATGGAGCGACGCTGCTTGGAACAGCTGGGCCAGGGCTTGAATGCATCGTGAGAAACGCGGGCAGGTGCATTTGGCAAGCAATGGAATTGATTCTCGTTTGCTGTGGGGGGGCGACAGAGGAGGAGGAGGAGGAGGAGGAGGAGGAGGAGGAGGAGGAGGAGGAGGAGGAGGAGGAGGGAAAGTGAGACAGCAGAGGGACGGATGTGCTGGGGGGGAGTGCATGGCAGGGCGCAGAAGGAGCCTGTGGGCTGTCTCTGGCGGGTCGGAGGAGGTGCTCGAGAGTCCTGCGTGGTCTCTGAGGGTTCCCGTGCGGTGCGCACCACTCGCGAGGCAGAGAGTTGCGAGGACAGCTATATCTGGCAACAGGGAGTGCTGAGACGGAGCTTCCCGAGGAGGGCAGGGCGGCACGGAGAGGAGAGGTAGAGCGAGGAGGGAAGCAGGGCGAGGAGGGAGGGGCGTCTCGAGGCCGCCGAATCAGTTAGATGGCATCCTGTCTGGGTTTCCGTGTTGTCCGTTCTCCATTTGGGGCGTCGCGTGGACCTGCTGAAGAGGTTCAGGAAGTAGAGGGAAGCAGGGAGGAACGAGAGAACCAGGAAAGAGGACGAAGAGGCAGGGCGTCCCATCTGGGTTTCCGTGTTGCCCGTTCTCCATTTGACGCGGCGCGAGGGGTTGTTGAAGAGGTTCATGAAGGGGAGGGAAGCAGGGAGGAATGAGAGAACCAGGAAAGAGGACGGGGAGGGAGGAGGTCTCGGGCCTCTCACTGGTGTCTCTCGGGGCCTCTCGGAGACTCGTGTGCCTTTGAGGGGGCCTTTTGGGGTCATCTCGCTTCGAAAGGGTGCACGTCTGAAAGGTGCAAGGCATGGGCGTTGTGGAGACTCTTGCGAGCTTATGGGGGGCGTCTGGGGATCCTCTGGGGGTCCCCTTGGGGCTATGAGAAGCCTATCTGCCGTCTCAGGGCGTTCTGGGGCCGCCTGGCGCTTTCGGAGGCTTGAAGGCATCCAGGGCCGTCTCGTTGGCCATCTTGGGGCGCCGGAGCTCCAGAACAGCGAGGACGCTAAAATCTCACAAACAACATGAGGAAATCGACGGTTTTGGCATCCTGAGGCCTTTCTCAGGGCTCAGGGTCCTCTTGGAGCGCTCTGGGTCCACCTTGGGGACCTCTTTGGGCTGTCTTGATATCGTCCTGGGCCATTTGGGGGCCCCCTTTGGCGTCGGGAGGCCACCCCTTGCGTCAGGAAATGTAGCCTCCCCCGGCTGGAGGCCGTGTTGGACGGTCTGGACCGATCAGTGAGCGACTATTGGCCCTATCGGACCATCTTGCAGACCATCTGGGGGCCGCTTGTGCCGCGCGGAAACGAGTCTGCAGAAGTTAGCCGGCAGTCTTGAGACGGGGATCAATGCAAACGGGCGTCAGGCAGAGCGCCGGATCTTGCAGGATCCTGCCAAGGCAGGGTTGCACTGACCCGGGCTGGCGCGCAGGATCCTGCAGGATCTTGCAGGATCCTGCAAAGACCGACTGGCCTGGGTTTGCACTGACCCGGGGCAGTGGATTCCCAAGCTGGGCCGACTTCCGCCAGCTTCTGCCGGCATGCCGCCCGTGGCCGAGGCCAGATTTCGGGGGACCGCACCCCAAGACCTCCCACAGGGGGAAGCATTGAACGGGAACCCTTCCGCAAGGTCGGGGACAAAAGCTCATCGGGATGAAAATCAGCCGCGCGCAGAGGGGGGTCGTGGGAGGGGGGAAGGCTTCTTAGAAGGAGGTTGCTGCTTCGAAGGCGTGGGACTCGTAGGGCTGGCGCCTTCAATCGAAGAAGGAAAACGCCATAAACATAAACTTTTGGCGCTCTGCGTGGATTTCTTGGATCCGCGCTGGGCCTCCCCGGCGGCGCCTCCAGCGCCGCCGCAAGGGAGGGGGGTCCAGCGCAGATCCACGAACTCCGCACGGAGCGCCACAAGTTTCTGCTTCGGGAGTTTTTTCTTCCGCCTCTCTAAGAAGCAACCTCCTAGAGAAGCCGTCCCCCCCCCCCCCCTGCCCCCTTGTGCGCGACCGCTCTTGCACCACACGGGAGAAACCCTCCGAGAGGCTGGGGACACATATTCTTAGACCGTGATGAACAGCCTGCCCCGGAGAAGGGGCCGAGACCCCGCTGAGGGTCCATGCTTTTGGTTATATGTGCGTGCTTTCTGTTTTTGTGTTTCTCATGTTTGTTTATCTTTTGTACAAAAAAATGCGCCAGAGGTTGGTGCGCAGGCCTCCTCGATCCCCAGACCCCGTCGGGCAATGGCAAACATCAGGACGAGAGTTTTGTTGTTGTTGTTGTTGTTGTTGTTGTTGTTGTTGCTGTGTTCGGCCTCTGGGGGGCCCTTGCTGGCCCTCGAGACCGTCCAAAAGTCCAAAAGCGACTCGGGATGGAAACCGGGCCCTGGGGAATGGGTCGAGACCTCCTTGAGGGCCGATGTCATGAGGACCGTCAAAGAGCGACTCGGGATGGGAAGCCCGGGCCAGGGGATTGGGTCGAGACCTCCTCGAGGGCCGACGTCGTGAGAAAATCATCACGTCGGGGATCTGGGTCCCCCTGCTGTCCCCGCACCCGGAGGCTTCGGAAGCTTCTCCTGGCCGCACAGGGTCGAAGGCGTCGAAGAATGAAGTCGGGCCTGTCCCCCATACGAGAGGAAGATTCACAAATAGTCTGGGGGCGATCTCTTATTTTGCATTTTTCGTCCAAAATCCGCCTGTAGGGGGACACGCCCAACCTAAGCCGAGGACCTCGGTCCTCGATGCTCCTCGCCGGCGAAGCGTGGCGGGAGGTCGAGGGGGGCGCTCCGCTGCCACGCCAGCGCCCACTGCCCGGCCAGGCAGGTTCGGCCAGGATGTGCGGTGCGGGCACCCCCCCTCGCCTGGTCGAGCTCCTGTAGGGGGGGGTCTTCGGGAGATCGGGTCGAACGGGGAGGAGGACCGGAGGGGGCGGAGGGGTGCGAGTGTCTGAGTCTCCATGTGCAGGGCAGCGACTGCTCTGGCCAGGCCGGTGCTGTGGCCAGGATATGTGCGTGCACGCCTTCACGGTCAGTCTCCTGTTCGGATGGGGAGCAAGGGACGGAGGCGGATACCGATACCCATGACATTTTCGCGTGCTCGTGTTTCAGTGGCGATTCGTATCGGAATCCAGATTGTACTCAGGGGGAGCAGCGATATCAGTGTCTTCTCGTTCCCCCCAATCGGCAGCAGGGGGTGGAGAGAGCAACGAGACTTGCCCAGGTGACTCTCGTGCAGGGCGGGGCAGAGGCAGACGTGACTTACACGGACAGTGTCAGCTGCGGTCAGGACCTAGTCAAGTGCAAAGAGGCCGCCATTGTCGTGAAGGGTGACTGGGGCTGCAATGTGTCGCGGCTGGTGGAGGCTCGGCCACAGGGAGGAGGACCATGCAGGAGGAGGAGAAGGAGGATGAGTATCAGGCTTCGAAGAGAGGATAAGGATAACGTCGCCGTCATTGACACGATTGTGAGCATCAGCATTGTCCCCATGATCTCCAGCACCATCGGGCTAGCAGCTCATCCCAACATTCGTGATTGGTTTCCCAATCAGAAGCGTCAGCATCAGATCACCGTTGCAATCATTCATCCGCAGGTCTGGGGACCCGACCACAGCCTCGTCGGGTGCCCCCACCAGAACATCTCGGACGTGGCCTGGAGCATGGAGGTGTTCCGTGCTCGTGGCCGGCTTTTCGAGCCCTCCACTGGTTTCCAGGCCCTCCTGACTTTCCTGCCGCTGTGCAGGAATCTAGACTTGTTCGGCTTTGGCGGCAACGCGACCGAGGACGGCCTTACAGAGCTGGACATACAGCAAGCCGAAGCGGAGCATCAGGTCGAAGAGGCGATCAGCAACGGTGCCTGGGGCAAGATCTCATGGTCTCCGAGGATGCCTGACGAGGCCAAGTGGATGCGGGTACGCGCTGCGAAGGTCAGAAGCGTTGACGGTCGGCACGCCTGGGTCGAGGGCAACTCCGCTGTTTAACCAGGACGCCCTGGCAGCGAGCAGTTTCAGTTACGCCAGCTCCCGTAGTCCTCGTATCAGCGGCTGGTGTAGGCTCCCCTCGCCAATATCCGCGTAGGAGGGCCTCGGGGACCCACTCACCCTCTAGGGCTAGGGCATCCTACTTAAATAACTGGCGGGGATTGCTAAGGGGATGCGTTATTATACGAAAGTCCGAGTAAGGGGGGCGAACGTCCCTGGGTGCGTGGCTGAAGTGGGGACCCGTAGTGAGGATTATGTGTGTTGCGTTGTTGTTGTTGCTGTTGTTGAAGTTATTGTTGTTGGTGTTGTTGGTGTTGTTGTTGGTGCTGTTGCTGTTGGTGTTGTTGGTGATGGTGTTGTTGTTGTTGGTGGTGGTGGTGTTGTTGCTGTTGGTGCTGCTGTTGTTGTTTGAAGTTGTTGTTGATTGTTTGTTGTTGCTGTGTTCGTTGCTGTTGTCGTCGTCGTTGTTGGTGTTGTGATTGCTGGTATTGTTGTAATATTATTGTTGCTGTTGTTGTTGCTGTTGTTGGTGGTTTTGTTAATATTGTTGGTGTAAGTGTTGTTGTTGCTGCTGTTGTTGTTGTTGGTGTTGGTATTGTTGTTGTTGGTGGTGTTGTTGTTGTTGTTGTTGCTGTTGTTGTTGTTGTTGTTGTCGTTGTTTGGTGTCGTTGTCCCACCCGCGACCCAACCGCGATACACCCCGCGACACACCCCGAGACCCAACCCGCGACCCAACCCGCGACCAACTTGCGACCCACCCCGCGACCCACCACGCGACCCACCCGAGACCTACCGGCGATCCACCAGCGACCCAGCCGCGGCCCACCCGCGACCCAGCCGCGACCCATGTGCGACCCACCCGCGACCTACCCATATTGGGTTAACGAAAAAATAGGCACTTGCGGCGGGCTCGCTGTCAGAGTGTGGGGGCCGAACGCTCATTTATTGTCCTTGTGTGCGTGGCTGAAGTGGGGATCCTTGGTGAGGATTCTGCTTGTTGCGTTGTTGTTGTTGCTGCTGTTGTTGTTGCTCTTGTTGTTGCTGTTGATGTTGTTGGTGGTGTTAATGTTGTTGGTGTTGTTATTATTATTGTTGTTGTCGTTGTTTGATGTCGTTGTCCCACCCGCGACCCAACCGCGATCCACCCCGCGACACACCCCGAGACCCACCCCGCGACACAACCCGAGACCCAACCGCGACCCACCCCGCGATCCACCCGCGACCCACCCGCGACCCACCCGCGACCCACTTGTGACCCACCCGCCTCCCACCCCGCGACCCAGCCGCGACCCAGCCGCGACCCACCCGCGACCCAACAGCGACCCACCCGCGACCCACCCGCGACCCAGCCGCGACCCATGTGCGACCCAACCGCGACTTACCCATATTGGCTTAACGAAAAAATCGGCGCCTGCGGCGGGCTCATTGTATAATTCGTGGAACTTTGGCGGCTGCGGCGGGCTTCTCCCAGAGTTTCGCAGGCTGCCGACGTCCCCACCGGCCCCTCACTCTTATCCGCGTCTGCGTAAATTATAGCTGACGCAACCTAGCTCGCGAGTGAGTCGCAAGTGTCCTGGGCGGCCTACGGGGGGCAGAGTTCTGGGCTAAGTGTGCCGAGCCCGCTTACCAGAGCTAGAAAAACATTGGCAAACAGTTAGGACATGTGTAACCAACTTCTTGGATATGTTATGTTAGGCCAACCCTGTCCTTCTTCACACCTACTTCTGTCCCCCCAGCCCCGCAGCAACCACCGCGGTCATCCAAGCAGGTCCCTCAAGCATCGACGAAGATCGTGACCAAGCTGTCTAATAGCACGATTCCTTGTCGCGTGTCCGTCGGGGGGCGGGCGTGTTTACTTGGAAATGGGGCCGCGCTTCTGGAGAGAGAGTGACAGCGAGGCGTTCGCGAGCAGAACTGAGTGTCAAGTAGGAGCTCTCTTCACTGGCGAGCGAGCTCAAATATCGCGAAACGGTCTTCCAAGCTGCCTCATAAAACAAACGAGCACGGTCGTGTGCGTGTCCATTGTATCCCCGTGACTGGCCAGAAACCCGTGCCTCCCTCGTATTCTCACAGCAACATTCGGTCCCCGCTGCGCTGGCTGGCCGCTCCGGCCCGCTCACTGCGGAACTCTTCCACGTCCTGGCGCCTCCCCCGTCCTCCTCCCGCGCGGCCGCTACCTCTTCTCCTCTTTGCTCTCTTGCGCGCCGGACACTTTGCCGATGGGGGGCCCCGCTTCCACCTACGCTGGTGCGGATCGCCTCTACCTCGCCGCCGACAAAAAAGTGTTCCCAGACATGCGACGTCTTGATTTTTGTCCATACGGGGTCCCTGGAAGTCCCGACCCTTTCCCCGGGGCCGGTTGCTCATCCTACGTAGCTTTGTTTTGACCTCTGCGAAGCCCAGCGAGGGCTCCCCGAGGCCCAAAACTGGCAAAGACCTCCCGTCCTGATTCTTGTACGACGCGATCCTGTCGGGGTTCCCGCGGCCACCTCACGACTCCGCCGGGGCCCACCAGGCTGGCCGCCGGGGGCTCGCGAGGCTGACTGCGCCCCGTGGCTCGCGGACCCTGCCGCAGAGCTGCCCCTGCTGCAGGGGCCGCGTGAGAGTGCGAAGGCAGCCTCGAGTCGCGCGTCGCGCGCGGCGAATGCGCGAGGTTGCAGTCGGGCCGCTGGAGGGAAGCGTTTGCGAACGAGGGGGGAAGTGAGAAGGGGAAGGCCGTCTTCAGAAGGCTCGGGAGTCTCCCAATCTTCTGAGAAGTGTTCTAAGCTCTCCCCAAAGACAGTCTCAGAAGGCGGGAGGGCTTCTGAGAAGTCCCGCCGCCTTCTGAGAAGGCCTTCTTCTTCTAATTTCCCCCCATCTCTCGCCGCCGGAGGAAGGAACCCTTCTCGGTGAGGAGGGGCTCAGTGTTCCTTCATTGTTTTCCAGCTTTTCTCAGGTTGTTCTCAAGTTTTCCATGGGAAGGCGAAGACTTTCTGAATTGTGGGGAACAGGCGCCTCGGTCCTTAGTCAGGATTCCTTATGACAGTGCTTCGACTGTTGGTGGCCGTCTTGAGGTCCACGTAGGTCTGCGGAGGTCTCCCGATGCCCTTCGAAGGCCTCCAGAGGCCACCAGTTGCATGCAGAGAGCCCTCCGCAGAGGCCTCTGGAGGCCCACTTAGGATTGGAGCGCCGGACCGAAGAGAGCGGCACTTTTTGCACTCGCAAGGCGCGCAGCGCGAAATCATGCGGCGAAGACTTGATTGTGCCCGGGCGAGGGTGGAGTTATTTTCCAGGCCTCCTAGATGGGGTCCGAGTAACTACATGGGGTCGGAGGATCGCGCCGCATCGCCGATCAATCGACGATGCGGCTTGATGTGGATCCCGTGTTTCCCACGTCCACGTCGCCGATAAATCGCCGCTGCGTCACCGACGCATCGCCGATGCATCGCCGATGCATGGGCGATGCATCGGCGATGCGGCGCGATCCGTCGACCCCATCTCCAGTGAGCGGCTTGAATAAGGAACGCTTACTTTTCAAAAGGGGCTCGTTCGTTCCTTTGGCTTGCATGCGTTATTTCGTGTCCTTATGCGTCATTGATTATATATCGTTCCTTATGCGTTATTCCTTGGACCTAAAGGGGTTTTGCTCCTTATGTTTCGTTCCTTAGGTCAGGCCGATGATTGTACTCGGACCCTGTCTAGGAGGTCTCTGTATCTGAAGCGTTCCAGGAAGGGCCTCGCCTTGGAGGATCGAGGGAGTTGCCGTCTCCTCCACGGCGGAAGCCGGCGGATGGCTGGCGAAAGGCGGCGGAAGTGTTACGAGATGCGCCCCCAGGAGATGATAACATTGTTGGGTTCAGGGTTTCCGAAGTCGGCCATGTGTTTTGGCGGTCGATGGCCCCTCGTGCCTCCTCCTGTTTTTCGTGTGCACAAAGGGTGTCCGCGACACGGTGCGGTCTTTTGCGTCGGCGTCGGGTGGCATTCGGTCGGTTCGGTGGGTTGCTGCACCGCTGCGCCTCTCCGGGCCTGCTTCCGGTGGGTCTGTCTGTCGGCTTCGGTCGGTTTTGGTGCCGATGCTGGTGCTCGGTCGGGTTTACGGTGTTGATGTCGCCATGAGCGTCTGCGGTGCAGGGGGAGGGTGAAGGTTCCCAGGAGGCCTCGGCGGTCACATTGTTTCTTACTGTGGGTCCCCTCAGGTCTCCCGACCCCTTCCCTCCCCGCGGGAACCGTTTTGCCTGGCACAGTGCTTCTCTCGAGGCCCCTAGTAGCAGCAACGGGGGCAACAGCAGAGTGTCACCGGGGGGCGGAGAGCCCTAAACCGCCCTGTCTGGAAACCGTTTCGCTTGAGATGACCTGACAATGCATGATGGAATCTCGCTCTCGCCTTCAATGCCGGCTACATGTTTGGTCCGCCAGGATCCCCTGCGCGCAAAACAATTAGAGTGCACATAGCCGTGTTCTCACCCTTGTTCCGGGTAGTCCTCTAGTCGAACTCCTACTCCTCGCCCGTCCGCTTCGCCTCGCTGCTATGAGGCTTTCTTTGCTGGGGTACTATCGTGCCAAGCTTCTCTCTGTGATCTTCCCCTGGGCTTGATTTGTTCAAGGCGTCGGAGGTCTGAGCTTGGCTCGGAGGCCCTACTGGCCCGCACATCTGCGGCCTCACCGAGCTGCGAGGCGAGGGTGTGGTGAGCCTAACGGAAGGGCTGGTGGCCCTCGCGTGTGGTGGAGGATGGTGGTGGCCATTTGTCTCGCGGGCCAGGCACCTGCGGCAGTTTTTTTTGCAATCCTGTTCCCAAGCCACGGCAGAATTGGGCAGTTGTTCAAGCAAAGTTCTCCCAGAAGTAGCAGTCGGCTCCAGGAGTGGACCTACAGGTGGATCAGAAGAACGAGCGGCTGGGGAAGCGGGAAAAACGGCGCCGCAACCAGCAACACAAATTGCAAGACGGAACCGGAAAACAAACTGCAATATCGTTTCCAGGGCCCACCAAGGCCAGAGACCCTTCGTGGGGGGCAAAGGAGGATCAGAGGAGGAGAACACACCCATACCGCTGCTCGTCCCAAGAATCCTTTTTTGTTGCCACGGCTGAAATCTTCTCGGGATTCATCGCAGAACGCATACTGGGAGGGGTCCCGTCAGCAGTGGCAGCGGGAGGGAGCATGGGCCCCTCCCTTGACCTTCCAGAGCGCAAACAAATACATTCCAGACCTATAGACCTATCTGGGCTGCTTCAAACCTCGACAGGAATTAGGACGTCGACGTTCTGGTGCTATTTGGACGCCCTCCTGGAAGGTCAGGGTCAGATCCTGGCGTCACCCGCAGATCTTGAGACCGCGTTCTTCTTTATCGATTCTGCACTCCAGGGGCCCGTTTTGGGGCCCTGGGAGCG